CACCCTATCCACGAATCGCGACTCGGAAGGCAGGTCGGGTACTCGACGGTTAACGAGAACGATTCGAACGATTAATAATGAAATGTCCGAATGTTTGAAAAGGTTTGCTACGCTATCTCGTTCATCGTTTCGGGATAAAATAGAACGACTTCGATTTACACCTGACGGAAATGTTTTCCGCGTTCGTCGTTTCCTCTCGTATCTGCGGGCACAATCGCAATTGCAATTATCCCGCCACCAATTTATATAACTAGTATCTGGTTGCCTAATGAGTTTCTTCTCGTTTCGTTTTGAACGTTTCGTTTGTTAGTTGTCAACGGTGAGGTAAACAGAAGTGCGAGTGGATAGATACACGCGTAGGTACCTACTTGCAGCTACTCGGATACCTATGAACGCGGTACATGTAGACGCGAATCCGATCAAAGAGATTGAATTTTCTTACGATATCGAAACCGATGTCGTAATGAGTGCCTCTTGTGTAAATAACAGGAATCGCTTGCCTCCTTCCAATATCATTTGCCTGGCATCTACTTTCGGAAATAATTTCCTGCGCCGTCATTTCGCGCGCAGAAGTTACCTGTTCCGAACAGTCTGGGTTAGCCAAATAATTCTTCCGTTACGGTTAAAATGTCAATATCGCATATCGGGACGCTATTTGTTCTCTGGTAACGCGTTATCTCTACCCCTTTCCGAGTTTCAGGCGACTTCTCGATCGAGGCGGGTTTCGGTATTTTTCGGTATCGTTAAAAATCGCGTCCCACTGCCTTCTCCCATTCCCCTCCTCGTTCCGACCGATTGCAAGTATACAGAGATAAATTCACGTTAAGAAACACACGAGTTGCCCTCGTTTGACTATCAGTTGCAAGTGGTGGGACGCGATTACGAGTCGCGTAGACTAGTTGATTCGTTTCGTGAATTTTCTGATGTTATCGCTTTCTCGCGACTCTGTTGTCCTCGAAATATATTGATAAATTATTAACCGCGGTAGGCGTCGCGCGAAAATACGAGCGGATAACGGAATTGTAAAGGAATCTTTTCTACGATATTCTATTCCATTCTATCGACGGGGCCCCATTGCGATACACGTAGAAGGGATCTTTGAATAATGCACCACAGATTCGCGTTCGGCAAACATACCTGCACTTGCAACTGTCTTTGCTCTTGAACGTCTCGTAGACTAATCTGCGCTGAAATGAATGTGCGAGTGTGTCTGTTGCTTGAAGAAAGATTGTGGAAATCGAAAATATAGAAATTCGCGACAACGCAAAGGTATTTCAGAGAAACTGTGTGTGTGTGTGTTCGAACGTCGTTCCAACGGCAATGAGCGTTGCACGACTGACGACTTACGATCAGTGTCTCCCGAAGTTACTGTTACGAAGACTGTAAGTCTGTCTAATCTACCTTTTATCGACTTCCATCGATTAGCAGAGCTGTGCGGTATGGATAGTCGAGTCACCTCCAGGGGAAAAAGTATTCCCCGACGCGGCGTTTCGGTTAGGAATGTGTTATGCTGCCAGTACCACTGACATCGCTGCCACCATGTAATCTTGTTCTACAGGCCCTTAACGTTCTTTCTCGACATTTCCTTCCAATTGTGAACCGTAGACCCGCGACTCGGGGGAAATCTTGATTCTTCGAGACGCGTACAGTATATATTATAGTATTACTACAGAATGCGATCTCGCGATATTCGCTCGCGGCAATTTGATCGAAGCAACGTTTCCTTCGTTCATTAGGGAGGAATTGCATTTTAAGGTGGGAAGATTTCATTTCTACGGCACGATATGCGCATTGCCCGTAATCAAGTTGGCTAGAGGATCCGATCTAGAATATAAACGTAACTCTCGTGTGATCGCTCTTTCCTTTTACAGGACAAGTAACAATACTGCGCTCGGGTTTCTATCACGAATGCGTATCGCGTTTAACGCGTCTACCAGGTCTGGATGCTTGCATCGATCGATCATTCGCGTTCAAAGGATCGATCCTTTCTTGCGCTTCCATTAAATTCGAAACGTAAATGCACGATTACCTTCTCGTAATTGTATTGCCGTTCGTGTGTTCCATTAAAGGAAATGTAGTTGCGACCACTCGCATCAACCTAACCGAGTACCCATGAGATACTTATTACGGCGCTTTCCTCTATTTCGCGAGTGTTATACGCGATGTACGTTGTACCTTTTGTTGCACGTAAATTATACGTTCTATCGCGCCTCCTTCTCGTCGATATCAACGCTCACGGAATCCAGAAGAGTCTTAATCTCCAGAAGAAGCGAAAGGTAACCGCAACGGAAACAGAAGAATAGCGTGGCTTGGAGTAAAACTAAAAATCATCCACTGTTTATTCCTCCATTTGCGTCAAACGCGTTAGATACGTTCAATGGAAAGGAAACGTGTTTACGCGATCTATCGACGCAGCGTTTCGTCGAAAATACATTTCTCCGGTAATACAGTTTAATCTCTCGGCAAATTCTGTCCCAAACCTATATTCAACCAAGCGATACATGCAAAGAATACGATCTTTCGTACATTAGAATTTGTAAATAAAATTCGAAAAATAAGACACATCTAGTCGTATCATGATTATGCGCACCAGTGTAAAGAAACCCCGTATACATGGATACAAATACTTTCTATCGCACGACCAGCCATTATTCTGGCTTCCAAATGCCTCTCTTTGTCTTTTCACAGCTATAAAGAGACAAGAGCGATGCATGGTTCCCTTTTTACGGCTTCCCTAGAACCTTCACGGATTGCATCATCATACGTTAGTTATACATAACGCGAACAGTATTAAACGATCAACGACTGTTAACGATAAATAACTTACTCGCATGCATCTTTAACCGATGTTCCTATTTCTGTCGAGTCTTTGGAAGACTGCTGTGTTCGTCTCGATGTCGTTTGATGGGAAAAATAAAAGTGACAAATATATTATTATTTTTTAACAATTTATTAGTATACACCGTAAGTATACGCGCACGGATTCGTGTGTGTCTGCGTGTGTGTGTGTGTGTGTGTGTACGAGTCGTGCGCGCGCGCGCGTGTGCATGAATCGTGTTTGCCGTGTCCGTGTACGAACACGCGCGCCCGTGTGTGTACATATATGTATATACATTTTTGGGAATTGGGTCGCAAAACTTAAAGATACCTTATAGACCACGCATCGTGTAAATTGACGTACGATCATTTTCACTTCTAATCTGTTTGAAACATAGCTACGTCTCGTAGAAACAATGGACATCTTTCTCAACTCTTCTCTTTCTTTACCTCGTTCCTGGTTTCGTCTGTCGCTACTCGCGAAACGCTATCAACGTGTCGCATACACTGAATCAACGTTTTCTCATGGATCCTGATAATAAACAAGAATGAAAATTTCTAACGGTTACAAAAATAATACTCTTGTTACTCGTAGAACGCCTTTTTCCTTCGATCGAAGCAGCACGCGAAACGAAAAGATTGGTAACCTTTCGGTTACGGAAGAATCGCGGTTTTCAATTGCGTAAATTTTCCTTGCTGTTCAACGGATCAATTGTCCAAGGTAGGAAGGAAAAAGGTAAAGAGCGAAAGAAAGGGAGGAGGCTAGGGGAAGCAACGTTCGATATTAATAAATCGGGGTCGACAAAAATGAGTTTTCTAGCATGAATTATGTTCTGGTCAGATTTTCAACGGTCTTTAAGTCTTATTTCGATAATGTGCCATGACAATGGGCAAAGTATCACGACGTTGACTCCACAGAGGCCTGCGTGCAATCAGTAATAACTCAGTCTTATAGAAGAAAGTTAGTCTCCTGAATGTCGATGTGCAACACTGATCGATACAAAAATATCCTGTCGACAAATATCGAGCACTAACTCCTTCCCCGTAGGAACGAAAAGACTGAATTGATTCCGAGAAGATCCAGTTACCCGCCAGATGACTACGATTCTCAACAGGCTGCCGCATGTTTCGCCCTTTGAGCAGCTATTCGTTGACTTCGTCTTAAAGTTCGCGGAGGTGATTCCGTGTCGTTTTCTTCTTCCGAATCAGAATTGTCGAGGGCTGTTTTTCCGGCGTACCGCCAACTGACGATCGCGCCATCCCACTGAAAGGTTCCGAACGTTGGTATACGGGAAATATTTTTAATTTTACGGAATGTTCAATGTATCGTGAACGCGATATTTACAGAAGTTGAAACGATCTCTTGATGAAACGGATGCCAACTGACGTCGCGTACACATCCTTTGTGTCCAACCAGAGTACTGACTATTCGACCCGTTAAAACATCGTATACTGAAATTGCAAAACATTGTACGACCTATCTCTCGTACGAACTCTCGAAAGAACAGCATGCAGAGCTCAAGACACTCGGCAGTTCCGAGAGACTCGATTGATTTCAAAGAACTTACTTATTACACGTCCCGCGGCACATCCTGTATATATGTACCTCTGACCGGTAATCGAGGAAGGGGAAAAGTGACAACGTATCAGCGTCTGAAGAACCGAGTGTCCACGATAGGTCATAATGCTCGTGTCACCTTCCAACATATGCTTCGCTTTATGTACTATGGTTAGAGAATGAACATTGAGTAGAAACGTCAGAGTACGGAAACCAAGTTTGGATAACAACGACAAGCTGATGGCACAGAAAACTGTACATTGTTAAATGAATACTTGCTTCGCTTTGGTACTCGTTGCCATCGGTAATCCCAAGTTTGATTCGCGACAGCTTTGCGTGTATTCAATTCACCGTTGCGATCCGAAAACGCACGTACGTCCCATAGTTTGATCGTTTGATCTTTGCTGTTTGTGATGAGATATCGGCCGTCGCCTCGAGGATCGATGTACGTTATGCCATCCATGTGACCGGCTAAAACTCCCACTGGATGTGGATCCGTTTCATTCAACGTTCTCCTGTCCCACACCTATGTAAGCCGAAAATGGGAGGAAATGAAATGAAATGAAATGAAATGAAATGAAATGAAATGGAAGGAAAGAACAGTATTATAGAAAAATAAATGTAGATGATAAAAATAAACGAACGAGAAAATAGGGAGCAAGGGAGAAGGAAGAAAAAAACAAAGATGGAGCAATGAACGTTGAATTGATGAGGAACGAGGTTAACGATACCTTACAAAGACCGTCGTCACCGGCACTGTATAGAATTTGCGATGTATTGTCGGCAAAAACAACAGCATTTACATCATTGTTATGACCTTCGATCTAGAAGAAAGACAAACGAAGAAAGCTTGATGACACAAGAACGTCCGGTAATGTACGCTTGTACGCCAAGACACACATACGAACCCTAAAGGCACGTTGATGACATTCTCTGTCGTAGACGTAGAGATAACCGTCGTTTGCTCCACCCAGAATTTCTCGGCCGTCGCTAGAAAAGACAAGAGAAAATACGCAAAACCTTCGATCCACCGGACACAGAGACAACGATTCTTGTGCGCACGAGTCTCCGTAAACAGGACACAAATATACTGAAAAGAAAGGTGTTGGAATGTTTTATGGCTATAGAGATCGGTGTATTGTTTTCGTAGAAACGACTTACGACATTCCGACCAACTGGAATAGACGATATAGTTGCCATCGGGACTGAAAGCAGTGTCCAAGATACTCCATCCGACGTCTCTTGCAAGAATCGTCTTGAACTCTAAAAAGTCTCCGTCGTGGGTTCGATAGAGGCGTAGAAATTTATCTACGGTGAACAGAAGGGGTCAGAGAGAAAGCTTAAAGTCGCAGAATAGGGATACTAGGTGGGAGCAGCGTTACCTTGACTGGCAGTTAAAAAGAATCTTCCGTCTTTGGAGTAAGAACCGCAAAACGCTTTAGCACTGTACTTGGCTACTTGGTGCATTTTATTTGGCAAGAAACTACTGCTTATTCTGCATCTTTCTCCGGTACTGAAACCAGGGCCCAGCGCCCTCCTTTGAATCATAGATGTGACAGAAATGTTGCGCTTATCGATATCGCTTACAAATCCACAGGCCTGTTTGGTAGCTAGACTGATTTCGCTTCTCTGAAAGGAAACGGGCAATGTAAAACCACGTCGGCGGAGAATTGTTCCATGTACAGAACATTTAATACGTAGCAACGAACATCTAATCTGGATGTATTTGGATATAAATGTAAATGGGATGTAAATCTCGGAGATTGCGAATTCGCGACGTATTCTTCGTCCGAGTCATCGTGATCCGAGGGTACGATGTGTAGTTGTCCGCTGGAACGGTTGAACGAAAAGAATTAGACGTTTGATTCGCTGGTTTGTTTCGAAGGGAGACGGATGAAGAGATTGGGACGTTTGGATTTGAAAAGTCCCAAGAGAGAAGAGAGATTTTCTGGAGATTCGGCAAACCGTTTGAAACGAACAAACGAACAAACGAATCTGAAGGGAAATTTCCGTGCGGAAAGGAAGCGAGGATTCATCGAAAGATTCGGAAGATTGGACTCTGATTCGAATGATCGCGCAGTTTACGATGAAACGTAGAACGACTATAAATTACGTAGAGAGGTTAGAATTTCTCTCGGTTTCTTTCTCTTTCTCGCACCGAGTGTCTCTCTTTTTCTCTTTCCCATCCCGATTCTTGGAGCATCTCTCTCGCTCTCGGTCGTTCTCTGTCCCTCTGTCTCTCTCTCCATCCATCTCCCTGTTACACATTAACGCGAGCGAACAGATGTACGCACACACAGTGCGAAAAGATCCAGGACGATATTAAATGTTTCGACGACGAGATAACGTTCAACCAACCTGCGTATCAAGTATTGCAAGACAGCGGCCAACCCTCGATCATGTTCGATGTCCATAGTCCGGGAATTAATGCCTCCCATGCAGGGAACAAACGAATCTTATTTACCGTCTAAAAGCAAACAAGGAAAACGTCCAAGGGTTGATGGCGTTAGTGCAGTGACTATGACAGTTGAAACAGACGATGACAGGAACGAGTGAGCGCGTGAGAAGTTACCGACGCGGAGGGGAGAAGAAACTGAATGAAGATACGCTTCTCGCCAGTACGCCGAAACACGTGAAAACTCGTCGTTACGGAAATTCGAATCGAGCGAAATGTTGGCCTTACAGATAGTACTATCTTCCGAATAAACGCTTTGAAACCTTGGACAATAAAAAGAGTGCAGAGATGGTTTCTCGCGTGTTCGTGTGTGTGCACGCGTGTGTCGCGAGGAGGGGAGAAGAGAGATGGCGCGAACACGGCGTACGTAATCGCAGTTTTCAAATCTCGAAATCATCCACGATTTCGAAATTCGACAGACTGGTTGGTTCGAACTGTTTGAAAATGGACGAGCCGAGCAAGCGTTGGGAACGTCGGGTAAATTGAGGAAATTCCGAAAATTTCAAAAACTCACAAACGAAACGTACAGATTAGTGCATTCGAGTTTCCATAAATGGAACAAGTTTCGTCCGATTGATTCGCGTAAATGCACGTGGTACACATGATCGATATTCCACGTTTCGCGTAATTTCTCGCGATTAATCGTGATTAATCGCGATTAATCGCACCTTTTCTCCCGATTTTCCAGATGTCGTTGCAAAACGATTAATCTACGCGTTAGTTTTGCTCGGCAATTTACTCGACTCAATCGATAGTTTGAATATGAGGTTGCGATGGGAGAATATTCCGAGAAAAATGCAACGAGTGGACAGTCTATGTGGGTTTCTACGACGGATAGAAACGAGCCGTTGCAAGGGACCGGTCGCTGCAAAGTCCACGTACAGTACTATCGTGTCGAATTTGATAGCGCGCGTTAGTTTACGAACTGCAGAACGCGGAAGGCAATTCGTAATGATAATTCAAGGTCGAACAATCTGAAATCCACCGCGAACAACGTACGTATCATTGGAAAAATTGTACGTCAGCGTACAAAGTACTCGAATCTCCCGTGCTCCCCGTCTTTCCCTCTTTCACGTTTGTGTCCCATAGCTGTGATCCGTAACCTGAGAATCGCAGCCCATAACCCGAGACACCTGGCAGCTGAACGGCGATCCGTTAGTTTCCGAATTCGAGCTCGTATTCGTACGTATCTCGTTCGAGCGGAGGTGCGCAAGTTTCGGGTAATGGTTCGCAGCCTGGCTCGAGCCAGAATCAGAGTCGGAACGAGAGCTGAAGCCGGGGTCGTGGTCAAAGCCGTAACCGGGAGCGGAGTATGCGCGCATGCGTCGCATTATCACCTGCTCGCAAGTTTCTCGTTTTCGCAAGAAATGACGGGATCGTTGATTCTTGCGACATCGACAGCGTCATTCCCCAGGACGAGAGTAAAGACAAGGAGAGGGTAGAGCGTGCAACAATTGCGCTAAGCTGATCGTCGAGGACAGGATCGGCGGCAACGACGAGGACGACCGCGACACGTCGACGACGTTTACGAACGGAACGAGAGAAAAAGGAAGAACGAGGAAGAGGAAACGCAACGTCCGACGCGTTCGAGACAACCCGAGGGGGTGAACAGACCGAAGCAGGAAAGCGGCAATCGACCAAGGAGGAAAGGACGGGGAAGGAATGGTTGGATCCTGGAGGGAAGGATGACGGCAATTCCATCGCGGTGAGATCGCGACGTCGATCGTATTCGGCTCGTTCCTTTGGATTCCTGGCGGGTTCTCGCGCGGGGCGCGCGTGCTCCGAGTGATCGCGCATCGCGCATATTACCCTTCTTTCGGTTTCTTGGTGCCGCTTCTGCCGTTCTTACGCGAGCTGCACGATTCCCGTTCGCGTCGCAACAGGTGAGCCACTCTCGCGTTCGAATCCGCTCGCCGTTTCTT